TTTCCTTACCACTATATTTTACCTATATCCTTTAACCTCTTAATATTATAGTATTTTAGCTATTAAAGTATTATTATATATAGGCATTAAATATTATAGTTTATAATAGCCTTATAAATATTATAAAGATTAAATTTCTTAGCTATATTTAAGATATATGAAAAAAGGCTTTTAAAACCTCTATTATTTTATTAGCTTTTTAAAAAACGGGAATTTCACCTTATAACTTATAACTAATTATTTAAGCCCTTAAAGATTAAGAGGCTATTTACACGCTCTTACTATTACTAGCCTTATATTATAAATCTTTTAATTTTAAGACCCAATATTTTAAAAGTATTTAATTACTTTATTTAAATTAATTTATTACTTATTTAAGAACCTTATTATTCTTAAGAAGTAAGTTATAAGAATTAAAAAGTAACTAGATCGCGATACTACGTATAGAGTTGTAGGTGTGTGTGTGTGCCGCGTTTAGGCTAATAAATTAGCTACATTTAAGATATACGAAAAAAGGCTTTTAAGACCTCTACTATTTTATTAGCTTTTTAAAAAACGGGAATTTCGCCTTACAACCTATAACCGATTATTTAAGCCCTTAAAGATTAAGAGGCTATTTACACGCTCTTACTACTACTAGCCTTATATTACGAATCTTTTAATTTTAAGACCCCTATAACTCTTAAGTAAATAAATAAGGTTACTAATAAGCTAGGCGATATATTAGAGTATAATATATCTCTTAACTCGGAATTTACATATAATATTAGTAGATTTATTCATGGGTCTCTTATTATAGCTATTAAGCTTATATAAATAAAAAGAGAGCGTTTTTTAAAGCTGTAAAAGAGACACGTAAATAGCATTAAACTTTTATACTAAATTCACTAGAAATTTAAGACGAAAAGGGTGTATATTATGCGCGAAGAGGTTAATTGAGTTATTAGGTTAAAAATTAGCCCGGCTTACTGAGTGGCCTGCCTTAGTGTTAAGCACCACCTTAGGTGGTGAGGGCTTTGCTAGCTGAACAACCTAATGTGGGGCGTGGCACGAGTAACGTCAATGCGAGAATCGTGTAGGCATTAAACGACGTAATAGCCGCCCGGTAGTCCGTGCGAGACACAGGTCCCTGCTCTGTCGGTGCTAGTATCTGTCTCTCGGTCCTCTCATGTCTAAAAGGGATCCATGTCCATGTCGTCAACGAAGGTGCCAAAAATACTCATCTTGCTGTGTGGCTACAGTATTTCCTTGCTGGATACACCTTCACCGCTCCCATTGCCGCACGGCGACGGCGCTGATGCGGCTTCGAGAACACTCCGAGCAACTCCATATACCCAGCAGACCGTCCCAAGAGAGGTACAACATGGCCGACGATGTGGCGGTCAAGCTGGCGGTCCTAATAGATGCGGACAACGCCCAGCCCAACATGGCGGGCGTCCTGCTCGCCGAGATCGCCAAGTACGGCACCGCCTTTGTGAAGCGCGCCTACGGAGACTGGACGGGCACCAATCTCAAGGGTTGGAAAGAGCAGCTCCTGGAGAACTCCATCCTGCCCATCCAGCAGTTTGCGTACACGCAGGGCAAAAACTCGACCGATGCCGCCATGGTGATTGATGCCATGGACCTGCTGTATTCCAACCGCTTCGACGGCTTCTGCCTCGTCTCCAGCGACAGCGACTTCACGCGGCTGGCCTCGCGGATCCGAGAGTCCGGGCTGCTCGTGTACGGGTTCGGGGAGCGCAAGGCCCCCAAGGCCCTCGTCAGCGCCTGCGACAAGTTCATCTACATCGAGAACCTGTCCCAGAACGTCGACTTTGCCCCGGACATTGCTATCCGGACGCACAGGGTCGCCGGAACCCCGGCCGCCAAGTTTGCCACGGCCCAGAGCCTGATCCAGGAAGCCATAGAGGCAAAGTCGGATGACGACGGATGGGCAAACCTCGCCGACGTCGGCTACCTCATCACAAAGTGGCAGCCCGACTTTGACGCTCGCAGCTTTGGGTTTCTAAAGCTCAGCCACATGATCTGCTCGGACCCTTTGTTGGACGTTACCAAGCGATTCCCGGGCGAGGGGAAGCCCCCGGTGGTCTATGTCCGGGGCAAAAAGCGATCTAAATAAAAATGCCGTCTGCGCTTGCCGCACAGGGCTTATTTAGAAATCCCTGGTTTCCGATGCCGTGATTTGTATATCGGCGATTGATGCCGGGCTGTGGGGAGTGAGCGCTATATTACACTACAGTGGCCTTTCTTCGCGCTTGTCAACGGCATTGGCATCTTTTGCAGCCTCAGCACCGTAATTCATCCACTAGCGCGGGCTTGCCTGGTCAATTTGAAGTCTATTTCAGTTTCCCAAAACACACCGTCTGCCGCGTTGTACCCGCTGCTTTCTCTAGACGCGCAACAGAACGAGGCGGCAAAAAAGTGTGCCCAGGCCGAGATATCCTCGTGTCCACGGTGTCCTACATCTTAGTTGAGTAGCCTATATACAGCCTCTTTTTCTTTGCGTTTACTTTGCCGTGCTGTTCTTTATGTTTGGCCATCTACTGGCTACGCCAGCAACTAGTGATTTTCAACCCCAAAAAGGCCGCTATGCATGTTGGTGGTCACTCCCTTTGCTCTATGACTTAGTCTTGTATTTAAATACTAACATTTCATCTCTTTCAAATGGCTAGTACAGCCGCAATCCATTCAGGGATTCCAGGTTCCCTGTACATACTTTCACTACGCGGCGCGCACGTACAAAGGTGCTGACCACAGCGGCGATGATGATCCAGTCGTCCGGACATAACCTGGCCCTCTTTATCATCGAGTTCACGAGGCGTGGCATAACTGAAATTTAAAATAGCAGCCAGACTGTTCATGACGGCCATGGCTTGAGGGTGCCTCGTTTCGTCCAAGTCGAGCCCTTCTGGAACAGGTAGTCGGTTTGTCAGATGTAATAGCAACCAAGCTGGCCAAGCATCATGAGCCGGTGGTGTGTGATTTTCGGTCATGCCTCTCCTCAATAGTTGTGTCTGTGTGCCTCGGATAATTTCGAAACATGAAAGTATGGAAGTTTAAAAGCTAGTGAACCCTGACCTCCGCAGCCGTTCGGTGAGCAGTGTCTGGTTTCTGGTTTCAAAAACGTACGACCTTCATGGTGGAATCTCGGGATGTCATCAGGCACTATTATATGCCGGGGGTAACTTGACATATGCAGCCTAGAGTTTCTAGCTCCTAATGCTCAACGACCAAATACTTCCGAGTTGCTCAGGTCTGTTGAACTACCAAAAGTGGAGGACCTCCATCAGACGGAGATGTTAACGTTATCATGTCTTACATCTTTATGGCAATGTCGAGCATTGCCATGCATGGCTTTGCGACTTGTCAGGCAAGTTCAATGCCGCACACAGAAGAGAAACCGCGATGAACAAGTAAAGATAGTGAAACAGTGAAACCGCGCAGCTTCCTCGGTGCAATCTGTCCATGCCTTTGCAGTCGGATGCGGTTTACCTCCAGCGACAACGAGGCCTCGTGCTGTGATGACATGTGCGAAGGAACTAGGCCTACTTTCATCGGATGACTGGCACAACAGCTCCTTGAAAGAGGCGCTTGATGCATATATGTAAGAGTGCCACTCTATGTACCGGGTCCGGGGCCGTACATTGTGTATGCAAATGTCGCGCATGCAAGAGCGAAACGGCGCGCTGGCCCTTTGACAGCTGGGTACCTGTCAGCCCAACGCCACGGATTGTAGTTGGCAAAGGCCAGCTTTTATGCGAGGCTGGGACCATTGCGCTGAATTTGCTCCCACGTAGCGGTTGCAAGCTGACGGATCTCACAGACGTTGGCCGGGGATGCTGGCGAAAGCAGAAATATATCGCACTAGTTGCGGCCACAGCAATCTATCCCAATCCCCTCATGGTCGGATTGAGCCGGGCTCATGGAGCTGAGAAATCCCCAAGCAATTGCTGCCAATTAGGAATTAGGAACTGCGTCCCGAGTGTGTGGCACTCATCACAGCCATTTCTTCACCAAGAAATGCAGTCGGGGAACCTCAACGGGGGTCTAAGGCTTGACAAAAGAGCAATGTCGTCTTCATTTATTTCTCAGAGTGATCAAACGCAATCAAGATGCTCCCAGCAAGCCACATCACGACATCATGGTAAAGCGTTTGCCACATGTTTCCATGCCGACATGCTATTCAAACTTCCATGTTGTCGCAATCAGTCTTCCAAAGATGACACCATGGCCGCGTCAGTTTCTCCTCCGATATGCGACAAATATTTTATCGACACATGTCTTCTTTGACGAAATGGCCCGCGCGAGAGTCAAAGTCGAGCACCACCTTACCACTCGGCCATTCATTCGACCAATCTTGCCACCAGATAGACAAGATATCGTCCCGCATGATTCTGAAATGGCAAATCCCATCACGCCGCCATGGGCAGGTATGCCGCTAATATGAGGTCGCAGGCAGGGTTTGTCGCAAAGATGACCCGTATATCGTGTATGCATGCACGTGGCGGTGACGGGCTCACTTGTATAGCTGAGCGGCTGAAGGCAATCTCACTCGGCAGTCAGCCTGCCTGGTTTCATACAAAGACCACGAATCCTACCGATTTCACCACGGGCAGCACACGTCCCTCGACTATTGTCTTCTCTCCAACTATACTCTACTCCAAAGTATAGGTGAGAGTTCTCACGCCACCACCACGGCCATGCCTTCACCTGCGCTGTTCATCTTGGCCCTGCTACCGTTTACACGGGCTCTGCAGATCAACAGCCCAGGTCATCCTGCGACGGGCTCCGACGTGACGGTGACCTGGAGCCATGTGGACGCCGACCCGGCCAAGTTCGACTTGTACCTTTGGAACGGCGCCGTGCAGAATCCTGCTGTCAATAAGCTTCTTGTTTCTGGTGTTCCTGTAGCCGCTGGTGCCGTGCGCGTGTCGATTCCCTGCGGTATTCCTTCCAGCGGCGCGTACCAGCTGTGAGCGGACGCAAGACGAATTCTCATGACGGAGAGTTGCTGACCGGCGTGCAGGCTTGCAGTCAATGGCGCGAACTCATCCGACGTCTACGCACGGAGCTGGCAGTTCTCTATTGCCGTTGTTGATTTTGATTGCACGACCTCGGCGACAAGTACGGCAGAGGCAACGGCGTCAAGTTCGGGCGGAACCCAGACGGACGCGACAACCGTATCTGCGTGTACATCTGCTTCTACCATGAGAACATCCACCAGCTCAACCTCGTAGTGAATGACGTAGGTTTGGGAGACCTGGTATATGAAGGCTGGAGTGCAATTGCTAGTGTTTGGTTACCAGACCAAACTAATACACCTTGTTCAACATGGACGTCTACTCCAACGTCTGGACTCAAACACGCCGGCGACTTGGCAGTGCAATATGGCATGGCAGGCGACAACAACAGCCGAAGTGTCCGCATCTGGAAGTCGGACCACGACGACTATTCCCATGGCCGGCGCTGCTCAATGTACGGTGCAGTGGTTGTTAGCTGGGGCCTTGATGCTTGTGGCGGCGTTTTAGTCGTAGTTGCCAACTTGATCGTTGACGCTTCGATATGTCCGCCGAGTTTCGTCGCCCGCCAAGTGATGCGCCATGCTATAAACAGAGGGAGAGAACAACGTGAGACAATCATCACCTGATGCCGGATCAATCACCCGGTCTATTCATCCCAAGACACAATCTCCAGCCATGTCTCAAGCGGCCCGCATGTTTCTGCGACTGTCCATCCTCCGGCTCATTTCCAGGAATGTAAAACACAGGCATGGGCGTTGCGGCCGATCACGATGCCCCGTCTTTGCAAACACAACCAGATCGCTTCGCATGGCCCCCATGGCCCGATTGGCATGCGTCCAGCGACGTCACGACGCTAAAAAAAAAAAAGAACGTCAAGCATAATAAACTAATTCCCAAACGCCCGGTCCTCCCTTGAATCCAAGCAGTGGCAAGCACTCACGACTCGCACGCCAGGGAGACCATGCAAAGCCACGCGCCATTGGCCGGAATGGTAATAAAAAATGCCATTCTTGCCCAAAATCCAAAAAAGGCAAGGGGGGGCATAATGGAAATTAAAAAAAAAGTTCCCTCTGCGAAACCCAGCGTAGCTCATTTGATCTAATGCTCGGTGCCACATGCCAAGGATCCGGTCACAGGTTGTGGAAATGGGCAAGCACAAGGGGAAGGCCAAATAAAACTAGCATAATAAAAAAAAAACAAGCAAAAACAAGCAAAAACAGCCCATTTCCTTCCCCCTTCATCCTGCCAGTCTCTTCCATCGAGCAACGACACGACGGCAGATACAGAGACGAAGGACGAGTTTCGCCATGGCGCCGCTCCCCAAATCAACCGCCCGCCGGCACACCGTCCTGCTGCTGTGCCTCTTCTCGTCGCTGCTCGTCAGCTTCGCCCTCTTCACGTACTTTATGCTCCTGCCCTTGTCGCAGTTCACGACGCACCACCACGCCAGCAACAAGTCGTACGTGCCCGCGGATCTGGGCGCGCTCACCACGAGCGCCAAGACGGTAGAGTTTGCCCGCCACGACGCATACCAGAGCCTCGGCCGCGAGCACGACCACCTGTGGCGCGACGACCTGCTGCCCCCCAACGGAGGATACTTGACGCTCGCCCACGCGCCCAACGACACGGCCAAGCTCGGCGTGGCCATGTTCCACCAGCTGCGGTGTCTGGCCGCCATCCGGTCCGAGATGCAGCGTCTGCATGAGCATGGGTCCGGGGACCCGGCGCACCGAGATCAAGATCGGGATCGTGCATTAGCTTGCTTTGACTACTTGCGACAGGTAATCTCAACCCCCCCGGTGCCGCTTGGAAGATTGACGTGTTTTTTGATGCTGAAGTCATGGCATATTCTAGTCGCTCTTGTGCCACGCCGACGCGACGATTGAGGCCGACAGCGGGACAGACTTGACTGATGGCATGGGCGAGCGGCAATGCAAGGATTGGAATATTCTGTACAAGGCGTCGACGAGGTCGGATGACGAGCCTGTCACGCCCGACGATTTGCGCTGAGTTTGGAGCACACTGCATTTGCATTTGGAGTACGGGTTTAGACTAGATTAGCGACGGCCACCTTGTCGCACAGAGCAGTAATAGAAACATTTGTTTTCCAACACGACGCGGCGGCAATGCATCTACTCTGGCCTGCTGCAACGAATGGCCATGGTCTTGACTCACGCATCACAACATCACAAGACAAGCAAAAGCACCACTGAGGTGACCGGCTTCTCATTACCTCAAACCTTGACGGTGCTCGCGCCAAGGAGGTCGTCTAGCGACCCATGACTAAATGTACATACTAATCATCAAGATCGTGTGTCTCATCAATCTATCCGGGCGCTTCTTCTCACCCCGAGACCATGCAAGTTCTCGTTCCTCCCAAACAAAGGAAAAGAAACATGTCTTGTCGGCAATCCTCTTCATGCGAGATGCCATGGAAGAGCAATACCACACCGTCTGGTGGTGGCATAGCCATAGAATGGAGACAGTCTTTCATTCCACAAATTTTCAAAGTGCCGTCCAGTTCGTGTATGATGCAGAAAGAAAACACCAATTCTGACCAGCGTTACGAAAGAAAGAAAAAACAAAAGACTCCATCCGTCTGTTCTGAAAGCGGTAAACGAGGGCCAAAAACGGGGAATTCAATCTGGGCCCAAGTCAAGGTGGACGGTCATGTGTTGCAGGGAAACAATGCAACAGAACACCAGAACATTTCTTCCCATCTAAACCAATTCAATCTGTTGTCTAGAAACCAAGTGGTATCACAAGAACATGAAACAAAAATGTCCTAGTAGACCACAATAGCAATACCAAAACGCCAGAGTTGAACAAGTGAAAACGCCCCGGAAAACGCAACAAGCGTCAGGACAACGAGTGGAGATTCAGAAATGATTTGAAAAGAACAGAGCACGAAAAAAAGGATTAGCGAGAACAACACCCACCAAGAACAAAAAAAAACTAAACTGCCACAAAAAGGGCTGAGCGGAGGACCAAGGTCCGTATACCACGGCGGATATTACTTCCTCTCGTCTCGGTAACTCATCAAATTGTCAGCCGGCCACCTCGCAAGAAGCAAAGAAGAGAGAGCAATAACAAAACAACTCCCTACATGGAAAGACGCCAATCTGATGAGGGGAGATCGAAACTCGGTTCAAAACGCCATGCGGATTTCCAAAAGTCCACACCAATCTCTTCTACTTTTTCGTGACCTTTTTTTTTTTTTTGTTTCCCTCTTAGAGGGCTTTCGGATTGTTGATTTCTTTCGGGCTGTTCATTCCACCTTCTAATCCTCCATCTTCGAAATCCTTTTTTTTTTTCTGTTTTACGACGCAAGCACGATATATCCAGAGACTTGACTTGTGTTTGAGTTGCACATGCTGCAAGTCAACCAGCCCTTCAGACCGTCTTGGGCGTGCGCGCACTCGTCACGTCAATGACATCATCCAGGTGATTGCACATGGCCACAAACAAGTCGAAGAACAGTTTGCTGCCACCGGCTTCCATCTCAGCTTGCATAGTCCCGCTCCGCTTGAACGTCTTGCGGCAGCGGATGATCAGGGCGAGGTAATGAGCGCGCAGGCGGCTATCCGAGTCAGGCGTGTGGGCGTAGGCGTACTGGGCGGACCGCAAGATGGTTGAAACGTCGATACCAGATTGCAGGCCTTGTTTGCGCAAGGCCAGACGCTTGAGCTCCTCGAGGCCATATCGCTCCGCCGCACAGTAAATAACCGTGTCACGGAGGACATCAGCCCCCACGCTGTATACGAAAACGGTGGCGTCGGGAACCGTACCTGCGCAGCCACCTCCAATTTCGGGGTTTGGTGATGTGTGAGGAGTCCGCACACGGTCCTCGAGATCCCAAGAGTTGCGGGACCTGTTGTGCAACAGGCGCGGGTAGTAGTCACCCTTGTAAAGATACTCGAGAATGGCGGAGAAGACCTCGGGTTCTTCGTCGGGAAGAGAGATTCTCCTGCTCTGCGAATCGGAGAAGTTGCCTCGGCAAGCCGCGTCAAAAAACGGCGACTGGCGGAGGACGTCCTCGTGCGCTGCAAAGAGCCTGCCTTCGCGGCCAACCGTGAGAGTGACGATGGGCGAGGGCGTGGTAGACTTTTGGGCAATTCGATCTTGCTCAGTGAGCGATCTTTGCAGTTTCGATAGCTTCGTAGGATCCCGGGCAGAGCCCGGCTTCTTTAGTCTCGCAGACTTGTCCACGCGGCTCTGGTCTTGCGACTTGAAGCTGCGTTTGCTGAACATGGCTGCGGTCTTGTGGGATTCGATTTGACGGTGAGATTTCGATTATGAACTAAAGAGCAGCTCGGGCAGGACAGCGCAGCGTGGTCGAGGGCAGACAAGGAACGACCACTGGAAAGGGAGAAAATGAGCGTCTCTTATCTGGTCCGGGTCTGAACGGTTCGGCACTTCAGTATCTGGAAATTGTCCTCGAGACCGAACGTTGCGTTTTGATAACTTGGCTAGAGAGCGACGAAAAGAGCGAGGAGGCGCGGGTTGGGAGACGGGTAAAAGAGTGAATGACGCACAAGGGGATTGACAGGCGGGTCCGGGAGAAGAAATACCTCCTTGAAATCAAGATGATAGATCCTCGTGTGAAGCTTTGCGACCCTACTGATGGTTGTGAGTGGGGAGGAAGGGGAAATGGAAATAAGGCTGCGTGGGAGCTGCGACTTATTTGTACCCAGCCGGGGTCTCAACATCTGGACTGGCAGGGATCCTGAATCCTTGCACTCAGCAGTTTGAGTCTTTGAGGGCCGCCAAATGGGTCCAATGTCACCACCATGCATGTGAATTGTGAACAAGACGCATCCCTTTGGCTGGCTTCGTTCACGGCCACACCATCGACTACGCATGCTGTGTCACACCAGCATCCAAAGTCACAGCCTTGACAAGTCTGCCACACTTTTTTGGTCCTAAATTTCCTCGCCCATCTTCGGAATGCATTGCTTTGGGCGGCCATTATTTACCCTCGCTTATGCTCCATATGATCATCCAACCGCAGGCCCAACCTGAGTGAGCCTTCCGAGTCCCAACCTTCCATACCACTTCCACGTGAAAGTATTTGCATGCGCGCCAACGGCGCAACCTGGGCTGGCTTGGAGCACGAGCGCCAGCACTCCAATTCAGTTACCAGGGTGATCCTGCAGCACATGTATATCTACCCGCCAAGTCAAAAACTCAAGGCATCAATCATGTGTCGAAAGTTTTAGCCGTCGCTCACTCCAGCCTCACTTCATCAGGCACCGCTCAGGTACGTCAGCGTCACAGTTCTAAACCATCAAACACTCAAGTCAGACAGGTCCATCGACAAGACCTGTCAAACGAAATTCAGGTGGAGAAGACCCATTCTCCCTGTACCTAATTTTGTGGGACTCGGCCGTGGCTTTCAGACCTCGATATACCCAAACAGGTAACCATGCACTTGTACCAAGTAATGACAATCCGGAGGTCAAATCTTAGGTCAATTGACTATGGACTGCAGGGTGATATCAGATGCCAATTTAGAAAATACTAATCCCTTTTCAATAAGTTCCCTCTGTTTTCATTACTCTTCGCCGTGGGAAATTCTCAGGGGGTCGGTCTGGGCATAGCGCCCGTGCCTGTGTCGACGTCAACGGCGTCATCAAGCTCAGGAGTCGAGGCTTTCGTTGGCCCCACGAGACTCGGAACGTCGGGTAAGGCTTTCACGAATACCAACAAATCCATGCATCAAGGTGAACACTGCAAAATCTAGTTAATGCTCCACAGGGCACCTGGTCCAGGAAGTGTTGATAACTTACTCATAACGGAGAGCGCTACAAATCCAGTGCAGTAGACTGACACGGCTTCTTTGGACCCAACCTGCTCCTCGTCCATCCAGAAGAAGGGAAATTTCCCGGAGACGGACTTGCCAATGGCGCCCCAAACAAGATAAAGCCCAGAGAGGGCCATCGTGCAGAGAATGGATGACCCGATAGCCTGGTGTACAGTTAGCTAGTTTGATGATACACTGGTGCCTAATTTCCCAACGGAAACTTACATGAGGTTTCTTGATGCTATTGAAGAAGAGACATTCGACAGTCATGATGCCGGAGTTGATGGCATGCATATTGATCTTCATGAATGCCGGGAACCATCCTTCGCCAAACACGTCGCTGACTAAAGTGAGTGTGAGCTGACATGAAAATAAGCTACCAAGGTCATTACTTCAAGATGGCATACATGGTGTGTCTGGAATAGTAGCTGCTGAAGGCATGTTCACAGAAGCCCCAATTACATTGGCAGCGACTTTTGATGCCACATTGGCAGCAGCGCCTGCGTCGTGCTGTCTGGTAACGAACCAGTAGATGGTGGAGTTCATAAAGCAAAACACGGTGGTTGCAATATAGAACATGTTGAAGTGGAATTGCTTCCGCTGGCTTGCCATATTCCGCGGTAAGGACATGGTCTTGATGATCCATCTCTCGGCTCTGCCTTCTACCTCGTTCGGTTCGGGGTAGTACAGGTGAGTAAACGTCCATGCCTGACGGAATTGTTAGTGCTGCAGAACTTGACCAATAGCACAAACAGAAAGACTCACAAACGTGACCAAGTGGTACATGAAGGTCATGGCATAAGATATGAGTGAGAAGTCGAACATGTTGGCCAACGGACTATCCTCTGATTCTTCCACATTCATCTTGTAGTGCCCTGTCATGACTGACGTTGCCACAAGGTACGCGAGGACGCAACCGCGAAGGGCGACTAAAGTGTTCTGAGGAATCCATCGCCACGGAGAATGGCTGCACCGGAGGAAGACGGGCTGCGTCCAACTCAATTAGCGATTTCTCATGTGTAATTCGGTAAGAGAATCACTCACGTGGTCCTGCATGATGACAGGGGCAGGGAGGCCATTCTGACCGAGAAGTGGAGTGGACGACATTTTCAGATGGGTGGCCGGAGACGATGCCGTCCGTGAAGCAAGATACGAAGAAGTGAGAAGTAAAATACGTTTAATTCTGCAGACCAAAATACAGCCAGCAGACGCCGGGCTGGCAAGCAAATGAAGATGGGTGGATTGAATGCGACGGTGGTGGACGAGATGGCGGCTGTAGGAGAGAAGAAGAGAAAAGAAAAGACGAGAAGAGGCAAAGGGGGGAGAGAAACTGGTTCTTGTTCGTTCTCCTTGGGTATTGTTCCTCACAGGGAAAGTGCCTTGGGGGAATTGTTGTGGGAAGGAGCCAGATGCAGTCGGCCAAGCGGCGCCTTCGAGCAAATTGAAGTTCAATCCAATCGAAGGTCCTCAACCCCAGCAACTGCTGGCAGGTGTCTCTTTTCCCTTCAATGTTCGCATTTCTTACTGCCGTGATAATACCAGATCAGCGGGACTGTTTATCGAGTCATCCATCATTTGTATCCTACACATGATATCTTACATGATAAAGGCTCGGTTAGACCGGTCGTCGTAAAATCTCACTCCATTGACCGCTCAGTCCTTCCTGCTGCTGCTGCTTTTGCTCCCTTCCTTCTTCATACCCTCGCAGCCCGTTAGTTTGCCAACCAGTTCCTCGGGCTTTCCATATCCTTGGGAAGCATCTCTCTTCTCTCCTGCTTCTTTCATTGCCGACATGCCCGCTGCCTTGTCTTGCTCGCCTGACGACTTCCAGGGGTGCGATCCAGTCATGTCCCCTACAGCAGCCTGCGAATCCTGTCAGTGGTCTGCGAGGGGGAGGATGGCTCTGCTGTCCCATGCATACCTCCGCAACTCCCTTGACATACTTGACATGGCCTTGAACAAGGCTAGGCTGTTGGGGAGTGTCTTCAGCCATTGTGGTCAAAGTCGCGTCAAGTGTTGCCTTAGTCTTGATTAGAAATGAGTTAAGTTCACTCTGGGTGAGCTTCCTGACAGCCTGGCAGAAGGGATCAGTCAATCATTCGCGCAAAATCTTTGGTGAAAGATTGAGCATTTCCGCCCTTTAAATACCCGGGTAGCTGACACCACATATGCCGATCATGATGGCCGATACAACGATCCCCTCCTTCCAGACTCTCCATGACATCACAAATTCATCTCCAGATCGAGGTGGTGAGTGCTGAACCCGCGACTCCCCAAAGTGTGGCTGAATTTGTGGCTGGTGCACCAATTGAGCCCACAGCGGAGGCTGAAGCTGGCTGCCAGCACGATGCATCAGTGGTCCGTGCACGGTCTGTTCCTGAGCAGGGCCACCATGTCCTGATGTCCAGTTCCAAAGACGCCAGCCTGTCACGCATCGCATTCCCAGAGGTTCAACCGAGCATTTGGCGCAGCTGCATCGCTGCTACGACCCTAGGTTTCGTCGACAACTTGGGAAGACTGCCCGAGTTCTCCCTTCAGTATATCCACATTGTTTGTTCAAGATGTTGTCAGGTCTCCAGAACCCGCGGCAAGCTGCTGCGCAGCTTATGAACTTTGCCTTGATACTTTCAACCGCTTTCATGGTACGTCTAGGTCACGCGGCAAAGCGTCCAATTCCTGCCATGACCAAGTTTCCGGCATAACCGAGCTTTGCATGGATAATTGACAATTGACTGACCAAATGGTAGATGTGGAAAGGTCTTTCAGTAGCTACCGACTCCCCTTCCCCGATCGTCGTGGTCCTCTCGGGCTCCATGGAACCTGCTTTTCAACGTGGTGACCTCCTCCTTTTATGGAATCGAAACATGTGGCAAGAGACGGCGGTGGGCGAGATTGTCGTGTACAATGTGAAGGGCAAAGATATTCCCATTGTCCACAGAGTAGTACGCAAATTCGGAACTGGGTAGGTTTGCCTCTAGCGCAGTGGTCAGAGGGAAGGCATGTGCTAACCAACAATTGTGCAGAGACAAGGCAAAGCTTCTCACAAAAGGAGACAACAATAATGCCGACGACACAGATCTCTACGCTCGTGGTCAGGACTATCTCGAGCGCAAGGACATCATCGGCAGCGTAGTCGCATACTTTCCATTTGTCGGATACGTCACAATCTTGTTGTCAGAACATCCTTGGTTGAAGACGGTCATGCTGGGTATCATGGGCTTACTGGTGGTGATTCAGAGGGAATAAGGAGGGCCGGGCAGATTCTGTACAACGCTTGGAAAAAGTACCATGCAATGCTGGCACTAGCACATGAAATCGCAAGAATCTTTGACCGATCCAGATCATTGGAAGCCACAGGCCAAACTACGGCAGCAATAGGTTGGGGAAACAAAAGAATTGCAATATAAAAACTCATCGAAGAGGCGCGGCCTTCTAGGATTCGAACTCATGAACGAATGACTGACTGCTGCACTCGCTTACTAGTTGACCCAACCCATCCGGCAACCGCACCTGTTGGTGGCAACCTATGCCAGGTCGCATCCTATGTAGATCATCCGCTGACCGTCCACCATCGAGTGCTGAGTCGGGATGGTGTACGATGCGCTGCTCGGGAGCTTTTAGGACAAGACGCATGTCTTGAAGCGTCTCGTTGTGTTGGTACACTCCCGCATTCAGTTGCCGGACAAGGCCAGCAGAGGAAGTTTCGAACTTAAATCAGTCGACAGATACACAACGGCGCAAAAGTTCGTCCACGTAAAGAGGTGAAACTGCACTTTTACGGGCAAATATCACCCCTATCACACAACCTGTTCAGTCTAGCTATAAGCGCACCAGTCATCTTCGTTGCCGCTTTAGTTACGACATCACAATCACACCGAATGTCGATACAGGGTACTTGGAATTACAGCAATAGCTTCCCACAATCCACGTCCGACGCAACAACTCTGTGTAAAATTAGGAATACTAATATAATTGGAAACTCTTAGGCCCGGAATCAAGTTGTCGTAAAGACGCCCGGTTAGCTCAATCGGTAGAGCGTGAGACTCTTATGAGTACACGAAATCTCAAGGTTGCGGGTTCGACCCCCGCATCGGGCTTTTCCTATATAATATATGATTGAGATGTAGTCGGCTTACTTTTTTATTCCTTTTTTTTTCGTGAGTGAATTTTCCCTCCAAACTCGTTACATGTTTCATGTCTTGGGAAAAGAGTTCAAATATTTTCGCCAATCCAATGGGCACGTGGCTCAAAGCTGTGCGTAATTCACAATAGATATGTCCGTTGCTTTTGCACAAATTTTCTCAAAACTGCCGGCCCTTTCGGAACCCATTAAACAAGGCGTGGAATATATCACGCTTCAGCCCTTCGCTCTCGTCCACGGCTGCAATAATGCCCTCTATCTTGGCCCGTTGCTGCTCCTCATAGCTCCTGAATGCCTGCTGCAGCTCCAGCTCGGCAAATATTCGCTTCACCTCGTCAACCCGAGACGCGTCCTTCTTCCCGTATCCTTGCAGCAGACGCTGTCGCTGCTCATTGTTTGCTCGTGACAAGGCTTCAATGATGAACCAAGTACACTTGTTGTCTTGGATATCCGTCCCGTGTTTCCCCGTAGTGGCATAATCCCCAAAGACGTCGACGTAGTCGTCGTTTACCTGGAAATACTCGCCCAGCGCCACGGAAAAGTCGCGCGTCTGCTGCAGATTCTTGGGCGTGGCGAGCTGCCAATACTCCAAGGCCAATGTAACGGGGCCGGAAATGCTGTACGACGACTTGTCCTTGACGATGGCCCAGTACTGCTCCATGGTGAACTTTTCAATGTCGGGCTCCTTGGCGGCGGCGAGATCGGACAGTTGACCCAGCTCGGTGTGAAGGCCATTGTCGACGAAGAGGTCGACCATGTTGATGTACGCCGGGTGCTGGCGGAAGAAGGTCTTGAGGAGGAAGAAGATGGTGGATTTCAGTATGCACGCGTCGTTGATGGCCATTAATCCTATCTGCGGCTGCCGGTGCCAGCAGGGCTGGCCACGCCGGGTCGTCGAGTCGTCCATGATGTCGTCCAGGATCAGGTAGTGCGCCCCCAGCATTTCTACCAGCCATGCGAGAACACAGAGCTGCTTCGATTGTTCGTCGCTCACTTCATTTTTTGCAAGCTGCTTGCCGATGTACAGAGTGGCCAGTCCACGATGGAGCTTGCCGGTTCCGACGTTGGCAGAAAAGCACTACGGAGCACGGGTGTGTTGGTGAGAAATATGAGCCCTTTCACTACGTGCGATGTTGGGTGTATTACCTGGCTGAAATGATTGACGATTGCATCACCAAACCCTTGAGACACAAGGTATTGGGTGACTGTGGCGTGTAGGCTGACACACGCTTCCCGCAGCTCGTGCCTCAGGGCATCCATCTTTCTGTCCAGTCGCACCGAGGGTACTCCGAATGGTTGTGTTAGATACACTGGCGATATTGGCCTCGGATTAGATTAAGCTTGACAACAAGTAAGGACAAGTAAGCGCTCAGAAAACCTAGATCAGCACCGTAGCCCCTCCCGTGTTGCTCATCTCTGATCCGGCCCATAAGCGGGCTCCAATGTCACATAAACTGTTGATGTGGTAACCACGAGGATGACGCGCAACGATACACACTCCGTGAACATTTGCACGTTTATGTTCGATAGTACGTGTAATACGGACTAATTGTGCAATATGTATTATTCATGTGCTGTTCAAGGTCCACCGAAGAGGACGATGAGGACCGCCTGAGCTTGGCTGCATCATACTGTTAGACTTGGACAACCAGAAATTGTTTCAAATGCAAAAGTCGTCAGAAGGCGCGGCTAAGCTTTTTTTTTTTTTTTTTTTTTTTTGAGCTTGGGCTCGTGGACTGATATGGAAGTCTGTCATTGAACCATCTTGACAATGTCGCTCTTCCGTCTTCTTTTGTCCCAGACTACATAATGCGGCAAATTCTTCATTCTTCGACCACGATTGTAACTTGACTCAGATCTCACAATACTAGTCAGCGTATACTGCCAGAAAACACAGCAAGCAATATAAGTACATACAATTGCGCAACGGTAGACAAACCAGGAGTAGTCGGCAGCTACTACTGCGACAGACTCCAGAACAAGGCCGCCAGACCATTCACAAAGACATTTCTGCTACTATTACACAACTCACCTTTGCTCCGTGGACGAATATTCACCGGCAAGTTCTACCGTGGACATAGGACATAGGACGCGACTGTCGTTGAGAAGCAGCTGTCTGAGTTTACGACGAGAACGGTCTACCCGGGGGTGTCTTGACTCTTGTGCGCCATACAGAGCTATGCCGAAGGACATGTGCATAGTGGCGACGTTCATTAATCAAAGAAATGAAGTGAAGTATTTCTCGAGTCCACTATCATGTATGTATGTGCTGGCGAGAAGCCAGGCTTTGTGCTGTTAGAGACGATGGTTGTGAGCTGACCGCCTCGACTCGAGCATTGCCAGACCGGCTGCGGGCTGCGAGATATGGAGCTTTCCAAAAGCTGTCTTTATTCACTCCCCACCCTCCC